GAGCGTTCATAGACACAAAAAACCCAGCACAGGGGGGTCGCGGCACAGTGGTGACTTGGCATAGTTGGATCAAGTATAATGATATCTGACAGTGATTAAAATCACTATCAAAAAAAAACGCTTCGATGCAAATCTTTAGATAGTGTTTAATTTTAAAAAATTGGTGGATTATTCCAAAAGCTTCATAAACTGCTAGTTCCTTATTAATATCCTGATTAAGATAAAGTATGTCGAATGAAAAAGGAATTATTAAAAAATAGTATTTCCCATAAAAAAATTATATTGATCAATACACTTTTCAATAAGTTATAGCATTATAATGTTAAAAATGTAAAAAATAAAATTGAGAATTTTCACACAATAATAGCATTTGGTAGCCATTTTCACCGTGAAGATAAAATAAAGTCCGAAATTTTTTTTTTACATAATAAAGTAGATTACATTAGCTTTAATTTAATATATATATAAAAGTGTCAGACTCTCCGAAACACTTTCAAAATTTAAGTTGAAAGAGTCAATTTTTTGTGAAAAGTTGTCATTTTGAATCCCCCCCTGTAGGCAGGTAAAAAGTCAGATTTATACAAAAAATATACCAAATGATAGGTAAAGACATTATGCATCTACAAAAAAACAGAATTATATTGATCAATACATCTTTCAAAAAGTTATAGCATTATAAAGTTAAAAATATAAAAAAGAATTTTTTTACAAAAATCGTATTTTTTTTATTAAGTTTAATGTCTGTTTTCACCATGAAGATAAAATAAAGTCCGAAATTTTTTTTTACCATTATAAAGTATATTACATTAGCTTTAATTTAAGATATATATAAAAGTGTCAGACTTTCCGGAACACTTTCAAAATTTAAGTTGAAAAAGTTCTACTTTCTACATGCATTTTTTATATTTTAAGCCCTCCCATATATAGGGAAATGGTCCGATTTAAAAAAACAGTATGTCAAATGAAAGATCTATATAAATACTACTTTTCATATAAAAATTTTAATGATCCATACATTTTTCAAAAAGTTATAGCATAATAAAGTTAAAAATGTAAAATACAAAATCGAAAAATTTCACACAAAAATAACATAATTACATAAGCTTTAATTTAAGATCTATATAAAATTGTCAGACTTTCCAACCCAACCAACACTTTCAAAAGTTAGGTTAAAAAAATTAATTTTTTGTAAAAAAGTCAGATTTATAAAAAAAATATACCAAATGATATGTAATGACATCATGCATCTATAAAAAAAAAGAGTTATGTTGATATATTTATTTTTAAAAAAATTACGTAAGTTATAAGTAAAAAAAATTGAAAAAATTTCGAAAATCAGCCATTTTTAAATTAGTAATTTTTTCGGAGATTTCCCCTTTTTACGGGGAACGAGGGAATTTTTTTCAATTTTTGAGGGTAATGTCTTCGACTAGATACGATTTGTGATCTTTTGACGTATCATTGAAAGAAATCGGTTTGGTGAGAGCTGAGAAAAAGTGGTAACAGACACAAAAAAAAAAAAATAAAAAAAAACACATCTTAGTAAAACTAATACCTTCTCAGCTTCGCATTGAAGCTAAAAAATCACAAGGAGCATGATAAACGCCTAGTATATTAAAAAAAATGGTGCGATAAAGGGAGACTATAAGAAGTATGGAATTTTATTTTGAACGACTATGGACTAACGACTAATTTAATTACTACTCAAACAGATATTTTTGATAAATGGAAGTGTTTGGTACAGAACGCCTTTGTCAAAGATCTAGTAGACCAGTTGTTACAAACATCCTTGATTATATTATATCGTGTGACAGTTGATCTCCAACGTCTTTCTTTACTCACCCCTATCCCACCCAGCACGGCAAATCGATGACCTCCGTGTCAATTGTCATCCGTGTACAGTTTATCGTCGTAAGTCAGTCATTCAATTGTTTTTTGTGTCATTTCTTTTTGTATCAAGCGCCTTCGCTTGAATTGTAAATTGTTCGACCATTGTATGCCGTTATTCTTTTATTTGTTTATTACACCCTAGTACTCAAAGTTTTTGTGCCCTTGTACGTCACCAGTGATTGGACCCTGACCATCACTAAATATCTTCATTGTCACAGTTGCTTTTCCGTCGTCTGTCATCTACCATTGTGTGCTTGGATCTACACTCTGACTTAAGATACTCAGATGTTCGACACTATTACCACAAGATCTCATACAGTCCACTCATCACTATCAGCAACTTTATTCAGCTAAGTTTTATATTATATTTAATGTTATTTATTGTTTATTTTTATTGAGATTAACTAGTTTGTATTATGTCGCTTCGCCGGGACCATTAGTATTTAAGGATTTCTCGTTTCCCCTTAAATTTAAGATAATTCCTGAAAAATTTCTAATATATGTGGTTATTTGTTATTTAATTATTCTCTATACTCGTTACTTATTGGATGTACCATTAGCTATCATCCCTCAAGTGACCCACTCCCACTTCAATTATAGCGATTAAAACAGGGTTAAGGTAAAACGGCATTCTAGTGCGGTACATAACTAGCCATACTACTGTCTAGTTGCCTCGTACAAAACAGGAAGATATATTTCAAACAGCTTCTCAATTTTGATGATTCCATAAATAAATACGGATACAACCCTTAATAAATAAGTACGTAAATACGTAATTATGATCCTAATACCTACAGTACTTATGCTTCAGGGATATGGTTCTGCTAGGGAAATGAAGGAAATAAGATTAAGGTTACGACCAGACATACCGTGGAAGATAGATGCAGAGGACAGAGATAAATGAAGAGGAATTTGCATGGCAATATGGTCTCAATGGCCAAAAAAAAAACTACAAAAAAGCTAAGCTTTAATACATATTTTATGTATAAAATAATTTTGATGTTTCACATCTACGGAACGTTCCACGACGGAACACACTTTTTTTAGATTAATTCATAAGTTTCCCAAGTTATTTTTATAAATTGGTTAAAGAAAATTTGAAAAAAGAGTAAATTATATTATAATTTTTAAGATAAAAATGTTTCGGTAAAGGTTGGAAAACATTGAACCATTTCGCAAACCAAAACAATAACAAAAAATATCATCATAAAAAAAGGTCTCATGATATATGCAAAAGTACAATGACCTTTTCAAAATATTTATCTAAATAACATATGAATATTATTAATATATATGGAAATTACTGACTATGCTAAGACTAGATCAACAGTTAATAAATACCATTTTATGAGTTAAACATACCAATTTTTATACATCTTATATCTTTCATACTTGTTTTCCAAATCACTAGTTATTTTAATTTGAGTATTTAATTTTTCTTGCAAATCTTGACTATATACCATATCATTGTTTATTGAAAGTTTCTTATTTTTTTTTGAAATCTAAAAAAAATATTTAATACACTTTAAAGAATTGATTAAAAATGACCAAATACAAAAAAATTAAAAGCAGTTTTTAATTATTGTGATTAGTCATTGAATAACCGGTGGTGATACTAACCATCAAATTCTTGCTCTTTCTCAATTAATTTTACGATTCCATTCGAATTAAGTTTTAACTCAATAGCACTTTTTGAATTAAAGTATTCTAACTCTTCAATCTTTTTTGATAATTTGAGAACAATCAAGTATTCTTCTGTTTTTTGTAATTTATAATTATTTTCTAATTTTGAATTGACTTCTTTGAGCTCTTTATTTTCAAATATTATCTAAAATAAAAAACAAATTAGTATTTTTAATTTTATGTTTTATAAAATTAACTTATATCATATTGTTATTAAAATCTAATTATCAGTTATGAGATTATTATGCAAAAATTTAAAATTCGTTACAATAATTGAATTATATCCTGAGCCTTCAATCTTTTCTTTGAAATGGTTTATGATTTTACAATAACATTATCAAATTTATTTTTTTTAAATAATTGTATCTTTCTTCCACAAAAAAATACTTATGAATTTTACATTGAATCTATAAACTAAACTAAAATTGAATACTAGAAATTATGAAATAATCACAAACTCAGTTTTTCGATAATTTTGAAACAATAATAATTTTATATCAGTAAATAAGAATTTAACAAATCATTATTTAAATATTAAGAAAGTTAAATTTCTTTTACTTAATAAGAATGAATTCTTATGGAAATAACAAAAAAATGTGAAAGTATATTTTTATAACAATAAGGTGGATGTATTATATGTATAATTGATATACATATAGTTTATTTATTTTTATTATGATTTTTAAACAATGACTTGTTTATAGTTGGTTAAGTGTGACATTATTATTTAAGAAAGAATTATCTGAATTCTCAGGGAGTCTTTCGGCAACGATCGAGAGAGACAATGTTCGCAAAGATTGTATTTTATTGAATTTTTGTATGTAAATATTTTATAGAATTCATAACTATAACATCCAACATAAATTTAAAAAATTATCAAAGAAAAAGTTTAATAATTGTATATTTACCTAATAAATTAAGTTCTTCAAATCATCCAACTTTCTTTGATAACTATCGATTATTTTTCGATTTTCTTCTTTTTCAATTTCATCTTCTTTAATACGTCCTTATAGTTCTTCATTACATTTAACATGAGTACTTATATTCAATTTTAACTCTTCTATTTCTTTTTCGAGATTTGAAGATAAATTTTTTTCTACACTCAAATTATTTGTTAACTTTTGCACTTCCTTATTTAGTTTTACTATTTCTCTCAATTGTTGTTTTAATTCAATATCAGTTTTAATATCAAGTCTTGAATTTATGTAGTTTAACTCTTCAATCTTTTTTGATAATTTGAGAATTAACTGATTCTGATTTGGTAATAAATCATTCGTATTATCTACAAAATATGACATGAAGTTAATTAATAAATTAAAAGTTGAATAATCGCAATAAATTACTGCAATGAAATCAAAACATATAAGGACAGCTACAATTAATTTATTGTGTTAAGTATCTTATATTGTAGACTTTAACCTTTTTAGGTATTTCAGTGAAAATTGTATTCTATCAAACAGCAATTAACGCAAAAGTGACATTAAGTAAGTCATTGTGGTACTCAATAAATAATTCAACATGTATAATAATAGTACATATTATTTACAAGTAATATATGCATACATTATTATATATAATTGTTTTGTGAATATAGATACAATATGTAACAGACCTAATTAACTCTTACAACTTTTAATACAATATCTATTTTATTATAGTTTTTTTTTTATAATTCATGCCTTCTTAGACAATGTTAAACTCATATTTTACACAATTGTCCATTTGATAATCAGATTTACGGATTGAGATCAATTATGTGTGAGGTTCAGTTTTGTAATTATAAAATAAAGCTAATACATATGGATAAACGTATAAACTGTAGAGAGAGTTTGAGAATGTTACTTATATTAGTAAAAAACCATGATAATAAATAACACAACAAATAAGAATATGTGTTATATATAAGACAAATAAATATTATATCAATGGGGACAAGCGAGTTAGTTAATAACTAATCGCCTCAAAGCATAAGTAAAACAAAATAATTATCAAAGAAAATCAAAATATAAAATAGATATTTTAGTTTTAAATTGTTTACGTATCAAATAATGGATTTACGAGAAAAAATTATAATTATTTTTTTTATAGATTATATGTTTTAATTTTTTTATATTTTGTGATCTTTTTTTTAAGATTGGCAGTTTATTGGATAAGTGAAAAAAGTATAGAAACTATTCTTATTGATCGAATTTAACCCCAATGTGGTGCGAGAAGAGGTTAAGTTTGAAGGTTTGAATTTTCATGATACTTAAAAAAAAATTCGGAAGTACTCTTTGAATTTTTGAACCACCTTAATATACAGGTGAAACAGATTTAACTGTTGATTCTAAAAAAATAATTTTTATTAATACATTTTTTCAACATTTCAAAAGAATAGTTTTTAGCTCATTATTTGCAAGAACTATTAATGTGGCGACAACTATTCAACGTGGTCACATCAAAATTTCAGTTTTACGATTCAATAGTTGTAACACAACTACCGTCTCTCATCCCACAGGTCGCACTATGTCAGGTGACAAGAACCATATCACCAATTAGTGTTGTTGTGACATGTTTTGTTATAAATTATATGAAAATAAATTCCATTTTTAAGTTAAAAATCTTCGTTTTCCTTGATTTCTCCTTTCAATGTTATAAAACTAAAAAGTATAACATATTGTTTATTAAAGTCGAACCAGTAAGAGACGAGAATTTCCATGGACAAACGTGAAATAAACACACACTATCACATAACCAATATCTTCTCAGCGTCGCATCGAAACTAAAATATTTTAAACACTCATTTTTCATCTCTCTGGCTACCTCAACCCAATTTGACAATAGTACCACAATCAACGCAAGTAATTAAATAATCAAATCGCACAAAAAGTGAACAGTCTTCAAGGCTCAAGTGAATATATGAATCATGACATGAAGTTGGCAGTGTTTTTTAAATAAAATTGAAATAAATTACAAATTATTTAAAAATGACTTAATGTAAACATATTTACTGGAAGTCGTCGCCACTCCAAGAATACTTCAATCTAATGTTAAAGAAGCTTTTCAATTAATTTGTCTTTAAAACTGAATAAAGAGGACTGTTATCTGTTATTTTTTCTTATATTCACTTGTATTATTGTTCTATATCCTTGGACTTTACGCACCCTGATAGAACTTCTTTACAAACCCATTATCCCAACTTGATAAATAATATCCATATTAAATCATTCTCCTATATTTTCAGTGATTATTATATACGAAAAGGTTATTATTTAGTTGGATATTTTATGTTTGGATATGTTTTAAAACACAATACAAAAATAAAACTTAGTAAGGTCGTTAATTTTACGTTAAAAACTCATTCCTATTATTATACCTCTTTAATTGTAAATTGTACAGAATGTTCAACATGTCAATTGTTACAAAGAAAACCACCTAACCCGACGCCTGTATCGACATATTTACCTGTATGGTCCAGCCGACGAATACTGCAGTGTTTACTCAAATCGAATTATTAATTTTTATTTGATATCTCAAGCTTAGAAATAATTCGCTTTTTAAATTAAATTGTTAATTGTTGTATAACTTGTTTCATTAAGGCGTGAAAATATTTCTTTTTTTCGGTCCTTTTTTAAATTCATATTTCAATAATAGAATATTGTAATACGACATTTATATTACAAAAAACGCAAGAAAAATTGTAGTTTTCACAAACAATGTAAAATACTATTAGGTAATTTACTATTGAACATAAATAAGACATTTTAAACCAAATTTTTCTAAAAATCTACTCTACAAATGTACACAAGTATATTGGTTAGGTTTGATATATTTCATTTATGCCACCATGTTGTCTACTAACCCAGTTGACAACGCATAAAGTAAGTGCCGCTAATGTGACCAAAATACTTAATTGTAGCCCTAAGATATCTAAGTGAATTTCGGCTTGAAATGTGTCATTTGTATAAACGTTCGCAATATCTGATGTCGGCCACCTGATTTTAGACTCCGATTTTTTATACCATTTTAGCTTGTTGATCGACATTAGATACAACCGCCTCGTTGACCACACAATTAAATGAAACAACTTCTAATTACCAATACCTAATAATTATACCTAAAATATTATACTATTAATAATAACTAATAGTATAATATCTATTTTCAATATTAATTATACTGCCTCAAAAATATAGTAATTATAATATAATGAAATACACATTTATTTGAAAATTATATTTTTTAGAAAATAGATAATATGTACAATTTTGAGCACAATAAGTATAAGTATTGATACAATACAAAAAACATGATACATTTAAGATAGAACCTAGTCATTGGTAACAGTAAAATTTAAAGAAATTACAAGGCTGCATTAAATGTTTACGTGAGTATTGCTGTCACTTTTGTTGACAGACATCTAGCAAATTCAGGGATTATTAAATCAATTAATAAGTAATTTTTACTACGTGTTTTGGGTAGTGTATTAAACTTTGTTAGGTGTAAAATATTTTTTTGGGAGACAAAGTGACATAGGAGCATTTAAAATGTATTAACATTATTGATATGGTCTGGATTAACTTTATCAGAATAAGGTTTGAATATTTTAGATGACTGAACACTTTATCTGTATCTGTTAAAGTAAAAGAGTTATTAAGGTTAGCTAATGGAGGTAATGAAGTTTTTTCACCTATTAATAAAACATTTTTTAAAAATATTAAAATTAAATTATGGAGAATTCCAGTGTTAAACAGGTAAATAGTAAAAAGTACTCTTAATTCTTATTAAACTTTTGTCGTAATATAATCGTCACTATTACTTATATAGGATAACACTAAAATACCTTGTTCATGTATTCAACAACGCTATATTTTTAGTATTTATTAATATATTTTTTATTTCAAATAGTCACCACTTCTATTTATTGAAGTGGTTCATTTTTACTTGTTTTATTATACATTATATTCTTACAAGGACATGATCCTTTTCAAATAAAAATTTAGATAAACATTTAATAAAAATATTCAACAAACTCACACTGTTTGGCTACATTGTAGTGTATGCAGTTCGGTCATAAATCAATGAATAGTTACTTTTAAAATCTTTCAGTCAAAAGAAAATCTATATGTTATTTTTGTCATCTTTGTTATTCTACTTTTAATAATTAAATGCATTGTATTAATCTCGGTCTTACTTGTAAAAAACTATGTTAATGTTATATATGTAAATGTCAAAATAATTTATAATCTATTCATCTGTAATAATCTCTGTCTTTCATGCTTATTTATTAATAAACAATTATACTAAAAATTCGACAGTGACGATTTTTGGGGGTAAAAAAAAATTATAAAAACCAGAGCAAACCCTTGTTTACAGCTGTTCTTATCGTGCTCCGTATTAAGCTATGGGAACGTCGTGATCGTCTTTGTCGAAGTTTTCGTGTGTTAATTCGTGAACTAAAACTTGAACTTGTGTTACATTATTTATCATTTTACCAATATCATCACTGAGGATATTAAAGGAACCAGAGAATATACCAGGTAAGATTTTTTTAATCCATAAGAAAATTTATATTGTTATTTTATAACCCTAGAATTACACCCCGAATCAAAAGCAACTCTCACTCTCCTTTTTAATTCCATCAAAAAAATACTCTACATTTTTTATTTTACTTTTTAATATTTATTTTTATTAATTTTTTAAGTTACGACACTTTAGTCTACACATCGATCGAATATGTTGTCAAGAAAATGTGTTTTTGATTATTCATGTTATCGTTGTGCTACATCGAGTTGTTGTCGGTTTTCTCTCTATGTCACCATTGTCGCCGCCATCTTAACACTTCTTCTGCTATAAGCTCTATGGCGTTTGCGAGCCAGTTTTTTGTATTCGTTTTTACTGTAAAAAGAAAANTTCTATTCGTTTTTAATGTAAAAAGAAAATATCACCTTTGCGATTGTCGTACACTGTGCGCTCAGTTTATCGCCGTTGGGTCTATATATTTTCTGAGATACATCACGATACCGTTGACAGCTAATTGTACACTTTGGTCAGCTACTTGCATTCGACTTCAATTGATCCTTTCACTATTCAGCATTATCATCAGCCGTTTCATTTAGCAGATAAGTATAATGCTCGTTCATCTATCTCTCTAAGACTCACTTGTATAATTTATTATTTGTTTATATCATCGCCTTAGTGTCATTAGTATTAAGTGTCCCCCCTNATCGCCTTAGTGGCATTAGTATTAAGTGTCCCCCCTATCCACATCGGTGTATATAAGATTTTATATTTCTTGTATAATACATTTAATCGTTATAATTATATCTTGTGAAATTCATTCTACATTCAAACATACAGTCCACTCACTTTATTTCTCATCCTCGACATAGCTAAAAACTTAAGACAAAACAAAACCACGAACGTTAACGAACCCGCGTGAATACCACCGGCCGCTGCGTTCAAACAATTATAATAATACTTGTAATCCAAGGAAACTCTAAATACAATGTTTTTTTCAATTGTCTATTTGTACCTTTGTTAATTTGCCTTGTTCAAGATCTCAATACTAATTATTAAAGGAAAACGATCTAATAAATAGAATACAATATTTTAATTATACAAATTTATCTTAAACAATCTAAGTAAATATTATTATTTTAAATTATATAATGAAAGCAGTAAACAATTTCTTTAAACACAAGTCAACTTAATGATTTGACTACTGGACAAAAAAATATAATACAANGTTAACTTAATTATTTGACTACTGGACAAAAATATTAAAAAAATAACAAAATATCAATAATCTTAACGATAACGTAATATGTCCAGAATTGTTTTCGAAGATATTAAATAGTTGCGGGTACCAAGTCTTAAATTGACTTTGCATTTATATACATTATTCTTCAGTTTGCGCAGAGTTTTTTTACGTGCGTTAGATAATTTGAAATCTAAAATAAAAAAATTGTTGAGTTTTCAACGAATAAACTAATAATATTATAGATACCCAATATAATGCATTTGACTGCCAAAGGCGCGTGTTTCATATAAAACGTTTCCAATCTACGCAGTTCAACTGATATTACAGAAATCGTTTCTCCCCAATCGATTAAATTAATATTATAAAATTGACTTCCATCCACACTATTTTCAACACCAGTACAAACTCCTCTGTACCAGTTACCATCATCTAAATTAAAATAGATATATTAACAAGAAAATAATGGAAATTTTTTTTTGGTGGCATAATATTTCTCAATTAAAGACAATGTTTGAATATTATGAGTTATGATGCAACCCATATGAAAGAAAAAAGGTACTAATAAATTATTTTAGTTGATTAATTAAATGTCTATCATAAATCCGTATGAAGTTTATTTATCTTCATAGTATTTCAATAATTAAAATTGTTGATTACAATATTTNTAGTATTTTAATAATTAAAATTGTTGATTACTATATTTAACGGCACAGAGTTCATCACGTCGTGGTTTAAAATTACAATCTTGTGTATGTTTATAATATACATTCATAATATTTTCCATAGTTCTTATTATTTGTTCGTTTTTGACTTTTGTCATGCAAAAAAAATCTGCTTGACAGTACAGCACTCTCATGCTATAATCATAATTATTCCTTAATTGAAGTTGAGGAACATTATCCAGAGTATAGAATTGTAGACCGTTGTCGACCTGAGATCCGTTCTGCTTGTTCACTACACCTACATTCTATTAAATAGTCATATTATTTATTTATTAATATGACTTATTAATATAAGTCCTCTCTAAAAAAAACTATGCTTGATAATAAAAGTCTAACATTAAGAACTAAACTGTTCAGTATTAGTTAAATAGAAAAAAATTGAATATACGATTTTTAATTACCAAGTATGTTTTATTGAAGTCCTCTACAGCATTTGACCAATCATACACCGTATCTACTAAAATATTAATTAAAATATTAATATTTTTTTTTTTTTTTTTACTATCATAAAATATAACCAATAGGTATATTTATAAATAACAAATTATAGAAATTTATCACGTCTATTTGAACTTATTCCTGAACTAAATAGTTTATGAAAAAATAAATGATTGTTGTCACAATTAAAAATAAAATATTAAATAATTGTTTTCTTTATACAAATTCAATATTAATCATTGGAAATTATATATGTTTATTCAATTTTAAAGTAAACATACCTTCTTTAGATGCTTCTAAAGGATACGAAATACATGACTTCAAATCATGTTCTATAATTTCATCAGCTAATGTAATATTTCTATTAGAAATTTGTTCAAATTTACCTTCAGTGGTTATGTGTCTTTTTGTGACATACGGTTCAATCTTTTCTTGAGTGCCATTAAGTGTCGTTGAAGGATTAATTCCTTCCTCAACGCAAGTATTTACTAAATAAAATTAGTAAAATTAAAAAATTGTTTTCATACTTGTAAATTAAACGTACCTTTTAAAGATAATTCCTTAATAGTGTCTAAAATTGGCTCATTTGTAGTAGGTATGAAACAACACTGAGAACCAGTGTGCATATAATTTTTTAATATTGAAATTGAATTACGACGCTCATGCAAAGATTTTTTATTTGAAATAATATTTTCTAATGACACGTCAGTTTGCGTTTCACAATTTAATGAATTCAGTAAGGACAATTCTGTTTGTGTCTCGGACACATTGAACATAAGTTTAATATTAGTCTGAGTAAGTTTCTCAGAGGTTAATAAAGATGTCTGAACTGCAATGTCTTGAACTTCCTTATTCTGCGACTCCAAAATATGTGCTTCTGGAACAGATTTTATTTGATCGTTTATATCATCTGTCAATTTGTTTGTTTGTGTTCCGTAATCTACTGAGGTGACTAAATAAAATACGAATTAATAACGTAAATAAAAATTATAATGACTATAACACGTGAGAATTAATCATAAATAGAGAAAATAAATTTAGCAAACGTTCAAATGTGCATAGAATTACCATTGCGTTTTTTCCTTAACCCAAGTTTCTTCTTGGCAATTCTTATTATTCGTGTAATAATATTAACCATTTTTTATCAAAAATTATTGATTTACTTAATTAGATCGAAAATGATTTTTATGTGAAAATCATCATTATTTATAAATATATAAATGGTTGCCATGGAAATGTTATTCAAACCAGAAATACTGCTACAATTATAATATGACAATCTTTTTGGTTATTAATTAATATTCCGGGTAATTCTCGAAAATTGATTTGAACAATTTTTTTATTATTCTTTAACATTGAAAATATTCATTTTCAAAATTTTATCTAATTAAATACATTTTTGATTTCCTAAAAACTACGATAGTTTAATAAATAGATAAGAAACTGTGTTTTCTATTCATTATTATTGTTGGATACACATCGATCGAATGTGCTGTCAAGGAAATGCGTTTTTGATTAATCATGTTATCGTTGTGCTACATCGAGTTGTTGTCGGTTTTCTCTCTATGTCACCATTGTCGCCGCCATCTTAACGCTTCTTCTGCTATAAGCTCTATGGCGTTTGCGAGCCAGTTTTTTTTCTATTCGTTTTTAATGTAAAAAGAAAATATCACCTTTGCGATTGTCGTACCCCGTGCGCTCAGTTCATCGCCGTTGGGTCTATATATTTTCTGAGATACATCACGATACCGTTGACAGCTAATTGTACACTTTGGTCAGCTACTTGCATTCGACTTCAATTGATCCTTTCAATATTCAACATTATCATCAGCCGTTTCATTTAGCAGATAAGTATAATGCTTGTTCATTTATCTTTCTAACACTCGCTTGTATAATTTATTATTTGTTNTGTATTATACATGTATATTAACTCAAAATTTTGAAACTTTAAATGTTTATATCTAATAAGCTAATAAAGTTATATTAAAAATTCAAATGCCATTTACTATTAAATTAAAAACTCAAACATTTTATTAAATTAAAAATATGTGTTACCATTTAAAAAAACAAAGTTGACCCCCCTCCAAGGCATAAGGGATGAACTTAAAAAGTATTACATAGTTAAAAATTCAAGAATAATGTGTAACTAAAAATAATAAAAAAAAAAAATGTTTAAATTATTATTATTTTGCAAGTAATTGAGTGGGTTATGATAAAAAAATCACCCTGTATACTTTCTAAGTATGCAATGTGTTGTTTTCAAAGCATAGGTCACTTTAGGCTAATGAAAGCGTATAATCTGACAGAAGTTAAAATAAGAATGTTGCGTTTGCTTAAAATGACAGTTCCGCATTTCGAAATGGTATTCTGCCTGTTGTCGAATATTTTAAAGTGGCAAATAACTCAATTAGACGATCCAATTAATGATGTTACCTATTGATAATCTCACGCATTACTGATACTAAAATTTAACTTTTACTCTAACACTAAGTCTTATATACCCAAAAAGGTACAGATTAAATCGGTTCGAGTGTGATACAATTTATTTATAGTTCTTATTATAGAATTAAAATATGCACAAATGTCTATTTAAACATAGATAAAGCATTTGACAATATTGATCTCAGTATAAATTTATATTAATTAAAAAAATAAAATTAGGGAGAGCGATTTATCATATTTTTCGTCATAGTTAAATAACATAATACAACATGATAAAATAAACGATTGCACTAATTCTCTGTACTCATAAAATGCTGGATACTGAAAGAATTTTCAATCACTATCGTATTAAGCTAAATTTTATTAAAAAATACCTGAGCCAGATTGAGCTATGATACCATATTTATTATGCTTCTTTATTTTCGAAACGCAGCATGTGAATACTCTTAAACACCGACAAAAAAAGTTCTCCATCTTCAACGTATCAAAATACCTTTTCAAATTTATTGTGGTTTTCAGTAATAAAGTTTAAGCACAANGCTAAATTTTATTAAAAAATACCTGAGCCAGATTGAGCTATGATACCATATTTATTATGCTTCTTTATTTTCGAAACGCAGCATGTGAATACTCTTAAACACCGACAAAAAAGTTCTTCATCTTCAACGTATCAAAATACTTTTTGAAATTTATTGTGGTTTTCAGTAATAAAGTTTAAGCACATAAAATAGTTTTCTTCACGAAAATTAAACAACCAACTAGTATAAATATTTGTGTAATAATACTGAGTATCACATGGCAACTTATATTTTACCGATTTCATGATTTTAAGATATTTAAATAATCGCATTAAATTAAAAGATCTTCAAACATAGAACACAAAAGATCTCTATTTGTAATAAACCATTTATTTATAATTAAAAAATGACATAAAATGTGATTTTCTTAATTTTGATAACTTTGAATAACTTAAATGGTCAAAATAATGTTTAATAATTAGCTACTAACATACAAAAAATGATATGTGTAATTGTAAAATATCACTTGAGTATCACTATNTGGCAACTTATATTTTACCGATTTCATGATTTTAAGATATTTAAATAATCGCATTAAATTAAAAGATCTTCAAACATAGAACAAAAAAGATCTCTATTTGTAATAAACCATTTATTTATCATTAAAAAATGACATAAAATGTGATTTTCTTAATTTTTGATAACTTTGAATAACTTAAATGGTCAAAATAATGTTTAATAATTAGCTACTAACATACAAAAAATGATATGTGTAGTTGTAAAATATCACTTGAGTATCACTATGTAATTATTAGAAATAGATAATTTGAATTATAATTCATATTAAGCTTTGCTTAAGTGCGATATTATTTATATTTCAACTAAAAACTCCATCTGCTGAAAACGATAAAAAACTAACATTTTTATAAGCGTATCTATAGATACTTTTACTATTAGTTAAGGACTCCTATAGTCGTATAGTTGGCTATGACGACTATTTGCTAGATACATATACTGTCGCTTTGATTTCTACAGTTAAGTAAATCATATAACTTATCTGAAATAATCATATTACTGACAATTTATTATCGTTACTAGATACTAAACTTAACAGTAACTAAACTATTAAACTAGATTTAGGCTTCCTTGAATTTACATAGATCGATAACACTCATTACATAAAATATAACATGATATACAACAATAAATATGCTATGTAAGGTGCTCAACACTATTCCTATCTTCAGTTTTACTAAAGTCAAAAATGTAGTCAACACAAAAGTTCGTATCTTGGATTAGTGACGTTTAATTAATGTCAATAAGGTATAACGCACAAAGAACAGAAAATAAAGTGTGACACTAAAAAACAATGATGATGTCGACCGTTGAAATGGTGTCCAAGTGAAGAAAAAGGTTTCAGACAGAACGGTGCGTTTCGTAAGGTGTCAGGTCAGGTCGTGATATGACTGAAAAAGCGGCGGCTATTCGTCGATATAAAACATTACAATATCAATTGAGAAAACGACAGAAAAAATATTTTCACGCTAAATATCAATTATAATTATGTAACTTTTTCCTTGAATAAATTCCTGTGATTGAACATAAAANAAAGAACAGAAAATAAAGTGTGACACTAAAAAACAATGATGATGTCGACCGTTGAAATGGTGTCCAAGTGAAGAAAAAGGTTTTAGACAGAACGGTGCGTTTCGTAAGGTGTCAGGTCAGGTCGTGATATGACTGAAAAAGCGCATTATTGCGGCGGCTATTCGTCGATATAAAACATTACAATATCAATTGAGAAAACGACAGAAAAAATATTTTCACGCTAAATATCAATTATAATTATGTAACTTTTTCCTTGAATAAATTCCTGTGATTGAACATAAAATTCAACTAGTAATATTACCTATTTTAAAAGATCTCATTGGTATTCATTTATTATCTGTGAATGATAATTTAACTTAGGAAACGTAAAATTATAAAAATATCTAAGTTGTTGTTGAATAAATGTTGATATTTATATTTTTTTGTTCTTCTACTAACGTGAAGTACAAAATATAAAAACTACAAATTAAATAATATCTTATAATTTCTTTATATATTTTTTTAACTTTCCACCATAGAAGATAATTAATATTATGAAAATTCTGCGAATTTGTCGTATTTTCATATTGCAAAAAAAAGTTTATGAAGTGTTAATATTAAGTTTGCTTTTGTTCTAACGTACGAATTAACTTTATATTTGGGAAAAAACTATAAATTTATTTGATAGCTTTTTTTTTAACTATCTATTATAAAATGTATTCTATGTATCCATGTTGTGTTAGAATTATGAATTTTATATTTTAATAAATATTTTGAAAATAACTTTAAGCTAATATTATAATAAATATTCTCAAAAATAAATACTAAAATATAATAACCTAACTAAATTAAATATGTTAACCTACCGATCATTTAAAATTAAAAGTAGCTTATTATTTTATACTTAAAGTTTTAATATATTATAAAACATATTTCATAAATTTATAATTTCTGCGTTACGCAGTATTTTGCGTTGTTTTAGCTATAACAGCATTAACATTATAAAATAAAAATTATCCTTTTTAACATGAATTAATAGTTACATTTCATTTTGAAATTTATTAATACGTCGATTATTAGTATAATCAAAGTTGATTTTTTCAATAATTAAATCGTGTTAGATCATATCAAAGTGTGATATATTGTTATTTTGTTTAACTCCAATTTTTATTAGTGGAACTGTAACTAATAGAGAGATAGTTTCGTGAGAATTTTAAAAATATCAAGTTTTTGATTTTACATACTCTATGATCGGAAATATCACAATTATGAAAAAAATAAACAACAAACTCATAATTTCGTAAAAATTGCTATTTTATTTTATAAGTTTATTTTCAATACAGTTTATCGTAACTTTTAGTGATGATTTTCAGCCTTATGGATTTTTTGGTGGCGAATAAAATGGTGTATTTAGATTCAACGTTAAACACTTAGTTGTTATAGATTAATTTATATTTAGGGTGTTCAGTAAATAAGGAAAATGGTGTCTATTGTGCTCATTGTTTGTAACAATTGACATGTTTCTTTATTTATTGAACACTCCACATAATAAAAAATAAAACAGTAATTTTAAAAATATTTCATCACAATAATACAAATCCATAAAACGTTTAATATTACATACTATTAATTATGAAGTTATATAAATTTTATGTAAGAAAACTTTTATTGTTGAAATATTATGAAAGAACATCTTTTATATGATAATAATAATATTTTGTAAAAGTCTGTGCTATGTATAAGCATTTTTTATTTTCCATGTTATCAATATTTGGCAATTCCTTATCAAAAAGTACCCAGTAATGATTAATTTCACCATGCATGTAAAGATAAATGCAAACGTCAAATACATGTGAGGCGGCAAGTAATTCTAATTGAGTACCAAAAATACCTTCAAAAAAACATTAATTGATTGACATAATTAATTTCGATTATTAATTACAGGTATTATTAAAACATAAACTCCTTAACACAAAAATATTGTGACCTATGAAAAACATGTTCAATATAATTACGACCATAATAAATAAATATTTATATTACTAACCAATAAATAACTAAAGCCTATTCGCTAATTAATTTAATTTATTAACAATATAATATTATATTTAATATTGAATCGAGTGTTGCAATCAAACATACCCTTATCTCGTGTATCTCTAACTTTCAGGTAATTTTCTGGGGTTATTGCTTTTAACACATTTTTAATTTTTTCATTTCTCGCAATTTCCTTAAAAAATATACGTGTATATGAATAATTACATAAAAATTATGTTAAAATATTTTATTACTTCATAAATATAATTTCGTATTGCAATATAGTTTTTTTCGGAATTTGTAAGTAATACAGAAAGAAGTACAAACATACTATTTGTATCATTGTTTAGCANATATGATAATAATAATATTTTGTAAAAGTCTGTGCTATGTATAAGCATTTTTTATTTTCCATGTTATCAATATTTGGCAATTCTTTATCAAAAAGTATCCAGTAATGATTAATTTCGCCATGCATGTAAAGATAAATGCAAACGTCAAATACATGTGAGGCGGCAAGTAATTCTAATTCAGTACCAAAAACACCTTCAAAAAAACATTAATTGATTGACATAATTAATTTCGATTATTAATTACAGGTATTATTAAAACATAAACTCCTTAACACAAAAATATAGTGACCTATGAAAAACATGTTCAATATAATTACGACCATAATAAATAAATATTTATATTACTAACCAATAAATAACTAAAGCCTATTCGCTAATTAATTTAATTTATTAACAATATAATATTATATTTAATATTGAATCGAGTGTTGCAATCAAACATACCCTTATCTCGTGTATCTCTAACTTTCAGGTAATTTTCTGGGGTTATTGCTTTTAACACATTTTTAATTTTTTCATTTCTCGCAATTTCCTTAAAAAATATACGTGTATATGAATAATTACATAAAAATTATGTTAAAATATTTTATTACTTCATAAATATAATTTCGTATTGCAATATAGTTTTTTTCGGAATTTGTAAGTAATACAGAAAGAAGTACAAACATACTATTTGTATCATTGTTTAGCAGATTGTGTTCTGTCTGAACTGCTTTTTTCAAAATTTTTGGTTTTAAGTTCACTGGTGCCTTAGGTTTTTTGAAGGTAAGTTTTAATTCATTAGCTTTGTTTATAAAAGATGAATTATCAAAAGGATGAAAATAATGATGGAATTTAAGTTGTTTTGTTTCAAAACAACAGGTATTATCAATCATTTTTGTGCAGTTTTGTATGTATACGACTTTTGATGCAGGCTCCTTAGATGCGAATATCTATTGATTGATAACATTGCTTTAAATAGGCATTGTATAATTTTAATAATTTATTTATTTTAATGAAATGTAAAGATAGAACAATTATAATACTTACAAGGTTGTGCACAATAATTTAACAAATGTAATAATAATATGCTTTTTCTAAACCTATATTACATAATAGTTAATACAATGTACTATAAGATAAAAAAGAAAAACTATCCAAAATTTCAATTTCTATGATTTATTGGATATTAAAGCAAAATATCATAAAATGTTCGTTACATTTTAGTAAATACTTATATTATTTTAAATTAAATCTTGTTTAATGTAATATATGATTAAAAAAAGAAAAACGTTTTGACGACTTGTTCTTTATGAGTAATCTGACCTTTTAAGTCAAAAACAATATAATTTTTGTTATATATGTTAAATTTTTAAATTTAACATATCGTATTTTTAAATACACATTGAAGAGATTTATGATAGTGACTTTAATCACGGACAGATATCAATTAATAGTAATCTAATAAATACCTAAACTCCACTTTACTGGATTTCTACTGTACATTACATTCATATTTTTTAATATTTGTTTTAAATACTATCCCACTGCCAAACAAATTACGCTAAAAATGAGCCACTTAGGCTTCTTATATCAAATGTCAATGTCGACCCTAATTTTTCAATTTAATTTTTGTTTAACTTAGTATTAAATAATTATTTTTGTATTTATACTATATAGTTTAGTCAATGTTAGATTACTTAATTATGCATAATTAAGTAATCTAATACATGTATATGTATTAATTGTAAAAAGGGCTTCTGCCCGTATAATTATAAATAAATAAATAATAAACATTTTAAATTTTTTTCAAATTTTTAAAATAGTAATTTTTAGCAATTATCTTACAGAAAATTTTGATAATCATTTTAGAATTTGTTTTTATTGAATTACAAGTACTGATGTATATTTATCAGGGACCAGAACTGAAACAATTTTTGTTCTTTAAATTTTTTTTTTTCAATCATTTTTCAACCATTTAAATCATTTTTATTTAATAAATTTATTGACTAATATCGTAATTTTTTTTAATATTTGTTGGAAAAATATTTAAAAAACTAAAACTATAATGATATTGGTATTAGAACTTCATTTGAACTTAGAATTTGAATTGTATAAATCTCCTAAAATTACTATTAGAACATTAAAATTTTTAGTAAAAAAACCCAGCACAGTGAGGACGTGTCATAGTTGGGTCAAGTAAAGTGATATCTGACAGTGATTAAATACACTATCATAAAAACATACTAATCTATTCATAAAACTATCATATTTGACACCGTAACATATAAAAAGGGCTACTACCTTCAGTAGCATAGCAAGTTCGGAAAATAGATGGATCTAAATGTTATTATTATTATTATATGNCAAGTAAAGTGATATCTGACAGTGATTAAATACACTATCATAAAAACATACTAATCTATTCATAAAACTATCATATTTGACAACTTAACATATAAAAAGGGCTACTACCTTCAGTAGCATAGCAAGTTCGGAAAATAGAAGGATCTAAATGTTATTATTATTATTATATTCTATTGGATATGTCTAAACATTGTGGACCTTCTTGTATATTATAGTTTAAATTAGCTTTAAATATTTAAAAAGCTCATTAGTAGCACGAACATTAACGGGCTTAGATTTACGAATGCCAGAATGAATATTTAGGCACTTACGGCAAGTTACAAATTATTCAAAGTGTAGAAAGTTTTTTGAAAAATGTTTAAAGAAGGGTAATTTTGTTAATTATA